TATTGTGAAAAGTGCTGGAAGCCACGGTCTTCATCTCTGCAACTCCGTAACAAAACTTGTTATCTATTCAATTCAAAAAGGAATTTCAGGTACGCTGCTCCGGCGGCCTGAAATCTCCTGCAGGATGATCTGTGTCTGGATTCTTTAAATCATTTCAAAAGTAGACTGAAGGTGTTGGGGGAAGATGCTTCAGGTTGTAGATGCTTTGACTGATGACTTTCTGCTCTGTGACTCAGGACATGTTAAACTGTGTGTTTTATGTCTCTAACTTTTTGTTGTGCTGCTGCCCCTCTTGGCCAGGACACTCTTGTAAATGACATTCTTATTCTCAATGAGGTTCTCCTGGTTAAATATATATATATATAAAATTGAACCTCAATACAAATGTATTTTTAACATATATGTAGGTATCCAATGAATGAAGCCGTAGCTTGACGCTCCCAAAACTCCTCTCTTATGAAATTTTCATCCATTAAATCCACAGGACAAAATGATCAAAGTTTAAATGTTTACTTAAACAAAAATAAACAAAAAACAGATACAGGTTAGTCCAAAACTATACAAAAAGAGAGAGGTGAGGAGAGAGGTCAAAAGACTGTGTGACTCCATTCTCTACTAGTCTAAACTAAGCCCAATTAAATCCACAAGCCCCTTCCCAGATCCAATGAACAAAAAGGATTACGTGCATCCATACATTTAACGTGATGGGCAATAAGGCTCCTACATTATAGCTGGTGGACAGATCTTTAAGAGCTTAATAGAAGATAATTGTCAAATGTAGGGAGAGATATAAGAAGTATGATTCCGGTTGTGATTCGTTCATTCTGCTACGACCAGAGAAAATGAACAAAACAGGTACATTTTCTAATATTTTCAGTAATTATGTTGATAGTAAGGCTGTGTGCAAAAAATGCAGTCCTTAATGCAGTCAAATATATAGCAACACATCTAGTTTAGATACATTGTGAATTCAGAATTAATAACTGCAGCTCGTTATAAAATCAAATCTTTTACTATACAAAATAGAAAACAAATATTTCCAGCACAGGGGCTCTTAAAAATATTCATTTGAGTAAAATAATCCGATTTTTTTCTTCATGTGTATTATTTTTGTAAACCACTTGAACATCATAACATGAGGATGTCAAATGTTAAGGATGATGTCATTACTGCTTCGGCTTGGGGTGATGTCACTGAAGGGAATGATGTCATCTCCTCATTGTGAATGCATACAGTGGGCGGGGCTTTGTTTCCCCCTGCTCACGCTCTCTCCACACTGCAGACTGATCAGTGAAGACAAACATTTTGACCTAAATGTATATACACCTCATTCATTGTAAGCTGAACATTTCATAGACATCTATCACTTTAATGCCCTGCTTGATAGGGAATGGGAAGAATTTTCAGAGGGCAGGAATAAAAGACAGGAAGGTGGAAAAAGGTGCATTAGAGATCGTAGTTTCCAGAAATAACCTCATAAATATTCGCTTTGGCAGCCTGTTAGTGTGTCTAAGTCTTCCTCCAGCATCCAAAGTATGACATTGAGTGATGCACTGGAACAAGACTGCTTGTTTTTCCAATATCAGAAACAGAGCCGATCAAATAGTTTCTTTAAGATGTGGTTTCTGCTGTCCGGCACATCTTTTTTATATTTCGTGAACATGATTTATTAAACATAAATGGATGACCAATCAGTGGCTTCTTGATTACTTACCGGTTTACAGGAAGCAGCTGGGACTACTGTATATTGCATTTATAAGAAAACTGAAAAAAACTGTAATTGAACTTGGCATAAACAACACAAAAATGTGAAAGCAGAAAATGATCATCCCTATTTTCTTTCTGCTGTCTTTGCTGACGCTGATGCTCTGGAGGGATTTTGGATGAGTGTGAAACCAGATGCTCCCCAGCAGTCACTGCAGCTTGTCATGGGCAACACCAGGCTGCTGACTTTGACAGTGAAAATCTATCTCTATAAAGATCAGCGAGCTGTGAAATCGAAGCGATGTGCCACCATCATGACGCAGATCAAGGAAAGCCAATTTTGTAAATGAGACTCCTCCTTTGCATAGACGAATGTATGCAAGCACACAATGACGCATCCTTTTCTACGTCATGAAGTTTGATAGTGACTGCAGGCAGTATATCACTCAGACTAGAATCTGCACTTCTGCACCCGGAGAGAAAATTTATTGGCTTAATCAGGCTTTCCCTGCTCCGTACCTAACCTTGGCCGTAGCCTCCTGTGCATAATTGAATTCTGTTCTAAATATTACATCGATTTTGGATGCTGTTGTGATTTTTTCCAAAGACGAAGCTCTAAGCTCTAAATTGAATAAAAACATGAGAATGTGAGTGAAAATTACTGAATCTTGATGTTAATGTTATAAAGAAGGGGAATATGCACTTCAGCCGGTGCATATCAGAAAAGAGACAGATAAATCACAGCATGAAGGAAAACTTCAGAGCACACGCTCAATTCAGCAGTTTTAATGGACTCACAGCATGGACCTTCCTCAAAGTCAACATTAACATTATACAGTACTGGCTTTTACGTCCAACTATTGTGCAGCATTTCCTCAACGTTCCTTTGCCATTCAGCTTTTGAGCTCATGCTGGCCACTTGTTGCAGTTGTTGTTTTGTGGTGACATTTCAAATAGTGGCTGTTTCCTCCAATATAACAGAGTAAGGACGTTAAAATACTTGAACTGTAGTTTTCCAGATTTAAAGAGAACTATTTTAAAATACAACAAATGAATCTCCACTGCCACACTATGGGGCATGTAAAGATATAATGTGGAGGACACATTGGAGACACCAGGAAGCGTCATACTAACAGATTCTTTTCTAAAGTTTTGGTTAACCTGGCTCCGTAATGTAAATATGACAAACACCAGGCTGCATCACCAGAACACCAACATCATTCACTATTCACACTTCTTTGAGGAGTTCCCTTCATAGTTCATAAAGTGACACAGACATACTTTCCGTCTCAAATAACGGCTCATTGACTGAACTGTCTGCTTGCATTTGGAAAAACATGTTGACTTAATGTCGGGGCCAAGGATTCCACATCTGGATGGAGACTTTTTCCAAGGGCTGAAACAGGGGGCTATTAAGAAGAATTTTTAAAAAGCCTGAAAGCCGTAGAATGTTTTATTTGAAGGTGTGTTTGTCCATTATGTTTACTGTGGTCTATTGACTGACTTAGAAATATTAGAATACCTGTGAGGGGGTTCTCATGTAATTCCACTGGAAGGAGTGGGTTCAGCAGCAGCATATTCAGAGGAAGTCTGAGTCCTTTGGGAGAGTTTGTTTGTCCTTTATGCTGCAAACAGTCTACTAAGGAATTACTAAAAACAGCCAACTTTCAATGTGATGCTCTGAAAGTAAATCAATTTTACAGTCACTGAATATGAAAAAAAAAACATTTACCTGTATAACAGCATCACCTGTATGTACCATGCCACTTCAGGTTATCTATCCTCCAGTAACTCACACCTCACAAACAGCAGAATGAGAGATACAGATGTGTTCAGCTGCAAACTTATTTTGGGGGGGAAAAGCTTCTTGAGAAAAACAAGTCGAGAGGGACTTTACTCGTCAACATATTTTGCAACAGTTTTGGCCAAGACAAGATGCTTTATAGCCGACACACAACTAAGACTTGGGACTTAAACTAGCATACAAAACACTTAATACATTCACCCATTCCACTTTGCTTTCCTCTCTCAATGTCATGAATCACAAATAACTTCTGATAAGAAACAGGTTGGAATATTGCTTTGATTTCTTTTCTTAAATTAGTGTTAGTATGTTAAATATGTTTTAGTAAAAGTACAGAGTCATGTAGCTTCATCAACCACAACAATGGAAAACGCAAAAATACAACGTGAGCTAGCTGGCAGCTGCCTGCTAGCTGTAGTTAACATTAGCCCAAGTTTAAAACAGAAACAGACTCGTGCCATTTACTTACAGATTGAATGCAGGTCAGTCTGACAGTCCTCCTTTTTCATTCTCCACATAGTTCTCCAATCTCCATCTGTAATGTAGCCTATCCACCTTGTTAGCATGCCTCATGCTGGAGCTAGCCGCCTGTGATTGTATCAACCAATCATCCACTTCCCCCATTTAAGGTAAGTCAGACTTCAAACTATTCGAATTCACCAATTAACAGGTAGACAGTAATCCTGTAACAATGGCTCATTATGACCTCATCACGTAACAATGCTGTGTTTAGGTTCATAAAGGTAAACCAGATTTCTTTGGGCCCAGGCCAGGGATGGTGCAACTTTGGTCACAGCAAGGGTCACATTCATTTAATTCTCACCACCAGGGGGCCGAATTGTAGAATACAAAAACAATTACGGTCAATTATGTCTCAAATTTAACTCGACATATACCAGTGATCGAATATTATTGTGGACATATTTCTGGTTTTCATGATTTCATGGCAGATTTTGTCATGTTTTCCAATTAATTGATGTGTAAAAATTAACCTGAGGGCCACGTTGAGGGTTGATGGGGGCCGCATGTGGCCCCTGGGCCGCCAGTTGCCCACCCCTATTCTAGGCTATACATTTATTTACCTGTTTTATTCATAATTATACATATTTGATTTTAATAGTCAAACTATCTGGATATTTAAAGTAACACAAACCTAAAGTAGCCTAACTGACAGTTTCAAAGTAGCCTCACTGTATTGGAGCATAACATAAGCCTAGAAACATGGGAAATGGTTGCTGACGTAAAGTGTAAATTACTAAAGTAAAGTAGGCTACGGCGTATTTTTTCTCAATCGCATCTCCCTTCTGCAATTATCGTCATTGTTAAACCCCAAATAAGGATAAGCCTGTTTAAAGTAGTAGGCTAAATGCTCTTGACACCTGAAGTGTCAGTTTTCCGGAGCAGCACCTGAACGCATCACAGTGGGCTCGGCGCTGTATGTGTGCGCCTCTCCCTCCTGCTCCAGTCTTCAGTCTCCTCCTGTACACCAGCTGGAGGGGCTCGGGTAGTCTTGATGAAACAGCAGCGGTGTGTGTGTGTGTGTGTGTGTGTGTGAGTGTGAGAGAGAGAGTGTGTTTGTTTGTTAAATTAAACAACAACTGAAACATGGACACTGAACTCTGACAGATGCGCACTCTGGATTCTGGATTTCAACTTAACCTGAACAAAAAACTCCTGATCCGGACTCAAGGATAAACCTGGACACGAAAGCGGAGGAAAATACCCCAAGAGAGATGTAAGAAGATTCTCTTAATATTATCATTTCTCATTATTAGGATTTGCCTTCAACAACAACTTTAACGTCTTTTATCGACCACTGGATGTTTTTGGTGTCGCTGCTATTTTAACCTCTCGGTCAACGTGACCAACAGTGTTTCACACTGAAGTGGGGAATTACTCACCCACCTGTGTGTCAAACTGACAGCTTTTCATGTTTTCCACCATAGATAAGAGAGAGAGATATCTTAAAAGTGCTGTAGCCTACATGGTGTTGCATTCTCAAGTAGGCTTTTATTTTGAAAATCACTTTTCATTGCAAAATGAGAAAATACAATGAGTTTATCTTTCTGTTTATTTTTATTTTTCGTGTTTATGGTGCAATATTAATCCTGAGAGAGAGAGAGAGAGAGAGAGAGAGAGATAACTTGTCAGGATCAGCCTCCTGCTGGCTCTTCTGTGGGGAGGGGGGTGGAGGGGGGGACAAGCCCCGGCGCGCCTCCTCGCAGACGGCTGCAGCTTGAGGCAGGCAGGCAGTGAGTCAGACCTTGGATGAATAGTTGGCGGAGAAAGATGGGGCAGAGCTTCCCTAACGTGTGGAAAAATAGTTTCACATGTTTGTTTTTGTTGGCGTGACCGTTTTCCAAAGAAGATGGAAGAGGAAGCAGAAGCTTAGCCTACATTGCAGACACACTTTTTTTTTTTCTCCACGTGTGTGTGCTGTGAAGCTGAGAGAGCATCAGAGGTTTTAACAGTCCACCTGTCAGAACTACTGCTCTGTTTTATAGCATAAGAATTAAAAATGTGGCAGTGAATGATGCTGCAGTGGTTGGATTTAACAAACTACCTTTTTCTCAGGTAAGAAACTTCAACAGCATTTTGACATACTTGTAGTTTTCTTTAGTATTCTCATGTAATGCTTTTTACATATATTGCTCTACATTTGATTTACAAAGATTTGTTTTAAGTTTATGTTGACATTTATATCATTCATGCAAATGTTAAAAACATAACTTACAAAAACATAAAATATCTGTAATTCCTTTATTTACTCTCTACTGTACATTACACACAATAATAATAATAATAATCAGAAAACAGCTCCCACATTATTCTGAAATGATACATCCCATCATATCACGATGAGTACTTTGTTTTTCATATATTTAGATGTTTTCAAGGCAGGAAATAGACTATTGTTTTCAGTCTATGACATCATATTTCTATGCTGTGGTCTTGATGATTGCACTGAAGTTAAGAGCTGCAGTGAGTAATCGACCAGAAGAAAACGAATCACCAAATATTCTGATTTTTAGATTTGTGGTTGTTCAACACTTCAAAGCATTTGAAAAAGCATCAAAATAAATCAAGCTTCTTCATTGTGAGTCATTGGGTTTGATCTGGTAGATATAATAAGTAAACTGGAAAATCGCACTTTGGGCTCCAGGAAATTTTGTTGTGTGAATATAAGCAACTTCTTGATCCAACCAGATGGTTTATCTAGACCTTTTATAAAAAAGAATCAGCAGAAAAACATATTTTTGATTTTAATACTTGTTTAATATTTAGTTTAAAGATGCTTGTTGTTCCTGTTTCTCCGTTCCACATTATCAAGCTTCATTACTTAACGACCAGTTTTCTAGTAATACGTCAGGATCATAGTTTTTTTTAGTTTTTTTTATACTTTATGAATCCATGAGGCGGGAAATTCTGGTTTTACACTCTGTTACTGAGAGACATGCTTCTCACACACACATAGTCCCAAAATACACACATGCACAAACCGGACCTGTGGGCATGCATCAGTGGAGAGATGGGGCTGCTTCACAGGGAGCGCGTCAGCTGTTGGGGGGTTTGTCGGCAGCACTCAGGAAGTGACCTGGCACCTCTCCAGCTACTAGACCAACTTCTATATTTTGGTCTGCCCAGGGATTTAAACTGGCAACCCTTTGGTTCCCATCCCAATTCCCTGCAGACATCCCAGACATGACATCTTGTTGTTGTCCTTCACTGCATGCCTTTTTCTGAACATCATCAGCATGCATTGGCTCCTCATTCACAATTTGTTGAATAAACTAGTGACCAATAGCCTATCTATATGTATGCTCAGTGAAACTTCAGTGTAGAGCTAGCTCAGTATAAAACATGCTGTTTGATGATTATTCATACATTTCACTCTGTGGTAACTCAAAGCTAGATTACATGTAAGGCTGAATCTGATGAAGAATCCTGAGCCGACCCCTCTTATCAGAATACAACATGCATAAAAGAGTCACACATTAAAGGTGATGTATCTGTGTTTACTGGTAAAGTCTTTGACAATGAGATTTAAAATGACGCTTGCTAGGCTCGTTATGATCCTAAAATCTGTGGGTTGATGGTTTATACTGTGACAGTTATCTTATTAAGGCATCTGAATGGATTATACATTTGCATGCTGGGATGATTCTCACAAATGTATTTTTGGCATCAGCGTGATATGCAGGTTGATTTGTAAGAGATTAAATTCAGAGGAAATATCTTGTTATCCATGAATAGTTTCACAAGAGACTTATCAGAACATGTCTTACCCCATCAAAGATGTTGATGTGATGGTATGAATGATCAAAGGAGATGTCGTCCATGTTGCTCAGTCTCATCGTTATCAAAGCCTTGGATTGGGTTGGGGTGAGACCAGATGTTTTTTTGTGCATTTGGCTGTCTGACATACAAATAGTAATTGTCTTGATCTTTTACTCCAGCCCGAGGCAGGGATTGACATTTCTGCCATCAAGGGTTCTTCATTGATTTCCTTGAAACAAAACTTGTAAACTTGTATAAAAAGTAGTCATGTCTGAGAATGTGGAATATAAACTTTCCAATCCACTCTTAACAAGTATGAACAGTTTCAAGGAATAAGTGAGCGACAATAGCAGCCCAGTGATTTTTTTTTTCATCAGTCGATCTGCAGAGTCCCTCTGCACCTTTAAGAAAAGCTAAAGACCCAGCTCTTTCATGAATACCTACTAACTTAATGATGATGGTCTCCATATTACTGATGATGATGATGGTAATGATGATGGTTTCTGTTTGATAACGACGACTTATAAGATGGTTTCTATACTGATTAGAGCTCTCAAGAACTGCCCTCAATGTTGTGCTTTGCCTCTGGTCACTTCCTGTCAGCACCTGTGTGTCCAATCAGACTCAAAGCTGATCGTTTGCTCTTACTCACATTGTTCCTTTTTTTCTAGATCCTTCCTTGTGTTGTTCTTACTCTCTGATGTACGTCGCTTTGGATGAAAGCGTCTGCTAAGTGAATTGTAGAATTGTAGTTATATTGATTTATTTTTAAAAGTCAGATGACATAAAATACCCGTCAGTTTAAAGCTCAAACTGAAGAAAGTGTTTCATCTTTCGTAAAAAGATCAACATTCCAAAATACTGTGAGTCTTGCAGTGATCCACCACAGCAGCGTCCTCAATATGGACTCACATGATTCACTTCAACTTCATTACTTTCCCAAAGAATATTTAATCAGCAGCAGGCATCAAACACATCAGAAACATTAAAGACAACACCAGAAATATAAATACTGATGTACAGAAATGACAAGTAAAAAAACAGATATGTCCCACAGCACTAAGCAGGAAGCAGAAACACTTTGAAAACACCACAATAAAATCCACTGTTCAGCCAAACACAGTGCTGCTGTCCATGTATGTGTTCAAGTTTAAAAGGGTTTATATGTGATTTTTTTGATCTAGCAGATGTTGCCCTTGAGCACCAGCATGAAACCAAAACAACTCGCGCTGCATTGTTGTGTTAGCATGCTAATGCTAGTGATCTTTATTATGCTGGTATCTTCACACTGCATGTAAATTTACCTGAAATGAGCGTGATCTAGAAACACAGTTAAGCAGTGAGTACAGTATGTTATTCTTCTTTTCTCTAGTCCCTCAATTAAACAACTTTTATACACGAGGGGAGGAGTCAGCCGGCCGTCCGGGCGATGTAAACAAAGTGAAGATAGGACTCTGAAAACTCTGAAAACATCACAGACAGTGGGACTCGGGTGTTACACCCATTGTAGACAGTCATGACTCACAGAGTTATTTTCAGAGGAGATACTTGATATTATATTTCAGTGTGAAAAAGCACATTTAAAGACTTTAAAGTAAACATTTCTGCTTGTCAGTATAAGTGATAACACAAAGACTACATGACAGGTCGGTACTTGTCGTAGGAGCTTTGTTGTTATTTTCTAAAGGTGTTGACAGCTGTGTGCTGTGCATGGGAACAGATGTGTTTGAATACATGAAAGTATTTCCTGCCTGCTTTGCATCCTGAAATAAATAATCAAGGTTATCACATGTGGATCAGTGTGTGTTTGTTTCCAGTGGATCGTATGCAGATAAACACACTAAACAGATTATTACAGATTCTTCTAAATGTTGACAACATTGGGGAGATATTTACAGATTGATTTAAACACAGTGTTCCTGGCATGGACACCGTCTCACCCTCTCCAGCTTGTTTTCCTCTGCATACTTTTCATCTAATCTACCTTATCATTAAATTAATAGATGTGCTCACCAGCTTGTGGAGAGCTACACAATCACTGTATTCATTTATTGCCTCTCTGCTTCAAACCAAGCAGCAGAGAGCTTTATAATGAAGAGATGTGTCCGTCAAAAACAAAAGCACAACACATGAATTCATAACAAGAGGAAACTGTCAGACAAAAAATGTCAAGAAATGAACAACAGGTTGGATTTTAGAGTGTGGGGGGCAAAGATAATAAAACATAGCTGCTTTGTATGAAAACAGTGAGGAAATGTTTCTGACATGTTGATGACCTCCAGAGGAAATGAACAAGTGGTTTCACTGCATGAACACTTCCATATGCTAAGGAGAAATTGCTTATCTCATGAATGAACAGGAGTTGGAGTTTTAGTTTAGTTTAGTTTATTTCCACATTTTTTGAAAGAAGATTCAAACAGAAAAAATTAAACAAATAAAAAAATAAAACACATGTGCAGGTGAGGAAGAAACCCATGAGGAATTATCTCAAAACCTCACCTTAAAGGCTTTATATGTGATTTTTTGATCCAGCAGATGTCGCCCTTGAGCACCAGCATGAAACCAAAACAACTGGCACTGCAGTATGTTATTCTTCTTTTCTCTAGTCCCTCAATTAAACAACTTTTATACTCGAGGGGAGGAGTCAGCCGGCCGTCCTGGCGATGTAAACAAACTGAAGATAGGACTCTGAAAACTCTGAAAACATCACAGACAGTGGGACTCGGGTGTTACACCCATTGTAGACAGTCATGACTCACAGAGTTATTTTCAGAGGAGATACTTGATTTATATTATATTTAAGTGTGAAAAATCACATACAAAGACTTTTAAGAGATTAAACAAAGTTAAAATAAAATACAGTAAAAATAACAAAGTAAGAATATTTACTATCACAAATAAAATTTACCCGATTGAAAATGACATACAAACATTGAAAACATAAAAATAGAGCAAAACAGGACGTACAGTATGTAGACAATATAACAAAATCAGGACAATTCACTATTCACTACAAATCTTTCTGACATCAACACATTTCTGAGTCTCAATTTGTGTGTAGAAAAAGACAAAAAAATCATTAAGTAAATAAAGATTGCTTTTTGAATCAGTGGAGAGGATGCTGATCTGCCTCTGAAATAGTTCTTTTCTGATCATTCCTGAGCTGATTTGTTGAAATAATGACCTTCTCTGTCCTTCTTGTTCGGCCTTTGCCAAGAATTGAAAAGCACTGGTTCTTAATGTAAAGTAACCTTTCTTTATTCCCATCACGACACAGGTCCTTGTCTACCTGCTGTGAGCTGCTTCAAATCCTCGTGCTTAATAACCTCTTAAAAGCGTCTCTCTCTCTCTGTCCTCCTCAGTGAGATTCATCCCTGCCAAATCCAACCGTGCCATGCACACACAATGACCACTAAGATGTAAGTACTGCAGCATGTCGACTAATAACCTTCTAAGCATCATTACATAGTTGCAGATGGATGTTTAGGTTGCTCTCAGTCTGGTAATATCTGCTTCAAACAGATGAAGGATGTTGTCCCTCTTCATAACACTTGTCTGAAATTGGCCGTGGAGATAGAAAAGGCATTTCACATCGTCTGATCTCAAAGGATGCGTTAGAAGAGATTTAAGATTAAGATTTACTTTATTGATCCTGCGAGGGGAAATTTCAGTTTTTACACTCTGTAAGTCATGAACACACACATGCAGGAACAGCATCCTATGGACATGCATTCATGGAGAGAAGCCAGAGTGACAGGGCGGCCCACAGTGGGCGCTCCTGGGCTGGTGGTGGGGAGGGGGGAGGTTTGGTGCCTTGCTCAGGGGCACCTCGGCAGTGCTCAGTCACCTCCCAGCTACCAGACCAACTTTGGTCCGCACTGGGACTTGAGCCGGCGCCCCTCCGGTTCCCAACCCAAGTCCCTACAGACTGAGCTACTGCCGCCCCAATTTGTAGGATTTGTTACTTTGTCGTCGTGAGCAAATTTGCGATTAGATGAATTCTTAAAAATCCAATAAAACAGCCTTAAAAACTGTTTGACAAACATTTAACTGTGAAAGTTCTGTTCTGTTCAGCTTTAAAACTTTTTCAGAGTTTAAGAGGATTTCAGGGACACGATTTAATGAGAAAATAACTCATTGTTAAAGCTGAATAATGGAAGCATCATGTGATAACAGCACAGCCAATAAGGTTTCAGTGATTTGCAGGTGAAAAAGTTTCCCAAGCAGCTTTAAATTCTGGGCTTCAGTGTGAAACATTTCAAAGAATTTATGACATGAATTATTGACTTTCACATTAACTTTATTTCAGAGGCATTTTCATTGTCTGCCTGAGTAACTGAGTTCTGCAGGAGTGTCTGGACTTAGTTTACTTTCAAATAGCTTGAAGTGAAGTTTTATATTTCATGGATTTTACAAGTGGGATGCCAACACAGGAAGGTCATCCTATTTCCTTCACACGTCTGACTATAACTCTGGGACACCTATCCTCAAACTGAAGGTTAAAGGAAAGTAAAGATATTGCTGGGAGAAATGTAGGTTTTGAATATCTGTTTTCTTTGGAGGGGAAACAAGTCACAAAGAATATTTCTAAAGCCTATTTAAGTTTTCTTAATGTTTTTGACACTTACGAACCATCTTTGAGTGGAAACGAGTTAGTGCAAAAGCGAAGAAGAAGTTGGAACTGAGAGTAAAAAGTAATTGATGAATGACTTGAAACGTCCAGCTACAGCCACAATGAAGTATTGGTGCAATTGCAAACTTGACCGAACCTATAAATGGAAAAAGAGACTAAATCTAAACAGAGAGCATTCTGGGATCATGATGTATCTTTCAAAAAAAGATGTAATACCAAGGTCCACTTTAGTGTGGCTAACAGAGTCAAATAACAATGAAGTAGATGGGACAGATCCGATCTAAAATCAGTATCGTGTCAGAGACGTACTTTACATATCAGATATTGGACTCAAGGCGCCGATCAAGAAAGATTGATGGTGCACACACTCTCAACTTGTACTGTCTCACTTTGAATACATTCAGACTGAACTGCAAGTGACCACAAATCGTCAGCAAGACGTTCAGACGAGATGGAACAGTTTCTTCTATATGAGCACAACTCTGGCACTTCAAAGTATTTCATCTGAAAACGCTCAGAATCAGAATCATCTTTAGTATAGAGAAGTGTAATGGAGCTGGTTTTACAGACGGGTATGGGCAAGGAGGATGAACAAGGCAGGTGCCTGAACAAAAGTAGACGTTACAAGTTGTGGTTTTATGTGAACTGCTGACCCGTCATGTGTCACAACTTTCTACCACATGAGTCATTAACAGAAGAAGAAAGAAAACGGTTCACCAGTTCCTCCACTGTGTCACTGTGTTACTGTGTGAAATACAAAAGTCTCTTCCACTGCTTCACCTCCCACTGATGTCTCATCACACCAGTTCTTTTGTCATCACAGCAGGAGAAAGTCATTCAGCCTTTAATGTCATTAATGGACGGTTGCATCATGCCTAGCTTGCAGAACTCGCTCCTGTTTCCGACAAATTCATGATGAGGAGCCACTAAAACACCGAGTATGAATCACAGTTCTCCACTTCTTTCCTCATGGTATTTATTATATCCTTTAAGAGTGCACTACATTTTGATTATACCTGATCACCCAGACATTAAAAAAGAGGAAAACTTTAAAATAAGTGAATAAATAGGATAATTATGTATATGAAGGGGTGTGAGAAAAGCAGTACACCGTGTGCGTACTTTGTGACTCCTTGTGATGGCACTCATGACATGAAATGAGGGTTAGGTGAACAGAGGTGAATTGGCCAAAGACGAAGTTGACAGCAGGATAGAAGAAGAAGAAGAAGAAGAAGAAGAAGAAGAAGAAGAAGAAGAAGAAGAAGAAGAAGAAGAAGAAGAAGAAGAAGAAGAAGAAGAAGAAGAAGTAGAAGAAGAAGAAGAAGAAGGAGCAGAAGTAGAAGACAGTGGGTTAATGTGACAGCGGTGAAAACAAGTTAAAAGATGGAAGTGTGATAAGAGGTGAAGCTGACACCAAAGTTGTAGTGAATAAATACATGAATCCTGCACTTCAGCTTTTTAAAGGCACATATTATTCTTCAGTTAAAGGCTCTATATGAATCTTTTATACTAGTATTTAAAAGTGTTCTCTGCACAGTCAGCCTCATTGTGTTTAGTTTAGTTTGCTCAATAAACATACAATCATGAGTAACAAACTTCATACATGTCCCCACTTGAAAGTTTTTGCAGTTGCACCAACTAAAATTGTCCATAATTTAAGATTTAAGTATTTGCCAACTACGACTTTCCTTGATTTCTGTGTCACTCTCAATTCTTTTGTGTATTTTTTATCCTTCTCACGTTTCCTATCTGTAAGGTTTTTTCATCTTTACACAGCTGCAATCTCATGTTTTCCTTCTCACTTTCCCCTCTCTCCATCACTCGCCCCCCTTTCTCTCCATTTCCCTGCAGGGCTTGGTCTGTGATGTTGACAGTCCTGATGCATATTTTCCTGCTGTCCCACAGTGAGTCCCACAGTCCAACACAACTGCTGTAACATGAACTTTACTCTAAAAAATGTAGATTTTGTGAGCTTTTTGGTCCTCTGGCAGATAGATTCTAAAAAATATTATTACAGCTAAAACTGTCAGAGTTAGAAGATGCAATTGTGGATATATTAATGTTAACAAGTGTCAAAATGTCACTCCAAGACTTGAACGATACTCCATTAAATCCAGAAAAAAGAGCCTTTTCATTCATTTAAAGTAGGAGTGTAAAGTTCACCTCAGCTTGTACGTGACATTTCTATTTTAGCAGCACTCAGATTCTGAAAAAGTAATACTGGTCACGATGTGTAAGTCTACTTAATCTCCGGGCACACAGCAGCCTTATACCTGTGTTGACACTAGATTCCATAATATACATCGTGCAACAACCGACAGATTTCCCTTGTGCAGCTCCTGTGGTGATTTCCACAAAAATAAAAAACCACCTCTCTCTCCTTTGACATGACGAGTATTACATCATATACTCGATTGTGACTTTCACCTGGCTGAATCAGTTGTACATCTTGCTTGAACTCTCAAGACTCTTACTCTGGCTCTCAATGTGAGAAACAAACAGAGTCTTGCTTAAAATAAAGAAAAACAAAACATCCATAATAACTGAAAGGAATGATGCTGCAAAAGATTTAAGTCAAAACTAAACATAGATAAATGTCAAAATGATTGTCACTTAAACCGAGGCTATATCAACCCTGCAGTATAATCATGCTCTAGCTCTTACAATATGTTTATTGGGACTGAAACTGAAATTCATTCTTCAAAGCAAACCACTGCCCAGTTGTATTTGTGCAGATTGTAGCTTCTTTTTTTTTCTCGTCCATGTTTCCAACCTGGCGTTAACCTTGCTTGTCTCTCTTTGCGCAGGTGTTCAGTGTTCAGAGTCCAAGGAAGTCTCCCCTCTCCGCTCAGATGTCTTGGACCTCCCATGGCAGGATGAGCTGTGCTGTGACTCACCTGTAGGCCGCCTCAACGTGGAGGGAGAGGACACAGAGTCATGGGGGTCAAACCGCTCTGAATCAAACCTCCCACATGATCCCCGCTGCAGCTTCAGGAGCTCCACAACTGGATCCCACCCTCATGGGACCTCTGCCGGTAAGAGTTTTAATAACACTTGTTTTTACACATATCTGCTGGCCGGCTGTCCTGGCGATGTAAACAAACTGAAGATAGGACTCTGAAAACTCTGAAAACATCACAGACAGTGGGACTCGGGTGTTACACCCATTGTAGACAGTCATGACTCACAGAGTTATTTTCAGAGAATATACTTGATTTATATTATATTTAAGTGTGAACAATCGCCTTTAATTATTATAAAGCCTTTTATAATAATTATAATATTAATATTTATAATAACTAGAACAAAACACACTATAGCTTATCAGCCACATTAATGTCCCTAAATCAGCTACTGAAGTCGAAAGGTGAATATAAAATGAAATGAAGATGGCTGTTTAATTGATCTTTAGTATCTGTAAGCTTGTGTCAGTAACCAATAATTCTTATTTCTTTTGGGTGACTGGTAATCAAAGTGCTAGAAGGTAGTAGAAGGATATTTTGAGAGCATTATTGCTGATAGTTTCGCGATATTCCACGCTCGACTTCTTTAAGAAAATGAGTTCTGTAAGGAACTTGAGCAGTTGTGGGACTATTTGCCAGATAACATTCAAGAGGTACACGTGTCATCCTAAGAACTGGCAGTAACAGGGGAGCAGTATGATGTGACTCCTGCTCGTCAGAGTCACTGATAGAGATGCCCCCAAAGATCAGCCCGGCAGGCTCATTACACTTTAATGACTTTGATGCTGCCATCCCTCCGGGCTTCTTGTGCTGATGTGCTGTGATCAATTCACAAGATGGTCTGGCTCCCAGGGATCCCTCTTTTTTTATCAGCAAGCACAACAGAATCCAACCATCTGTTTCTCACCTCCTCTGTGTAGGAAATCATTCAGCATCTCATTCAGCGTCTCTGTTGTCTTACCTAGAACAGAAAGTACCAAAACAAACAAAGGCCAGTTCAAGTGAGTCATAATTTAAAAAAAAAAACACGCTCATGATATTGTCAGTGTGGAGGTGAAGGCGGACGTGGAGACAACATGAGGGCGGTGAGGAGGATTTGTTTTTTTGCATTGATCTTGAAGGCGCTGTGACGCACCAGAATCAATGGTGATTAGTGAAGACTTTTCAGCTTAAGGGCCAAACAATGATGATTAATCAGAGAAGCTAAAGGCCTCCCGACTTCTTTAAGAGGCCAGTTAGAAATGTGATTCAACTCCAAGGTCCCTTGTGTTTATTTATTTTAATTTTATTCATTTTCATGTTCATTTGTGTAGTGACCAGCATGTGGTAAGTAAACTGCTGAGGGCCCGGCGGTTGGGTCATACACCACCTCTTCTTTCTGATTTCCTGCTCTGTCCACTGTCCTGTCAAGTGGAGGAGAATGACCCCAAACAGTGTCTTTTAAAAAGACTAAATAAATAAAAAGAATAGTAATAGTTTCTGCTGTCAGGATGTCATTTTTAATATGGGCTGTATGGGACTTCTGCGTCTCTTAGAGCCGGTCTCAAGTGGACACTCGAGGAACTGCAGTTTTTTGCACTTCACCATTGGCTCTATTTTTCAGCACCAGAGGTTGCTGCTTGGTGCAGCCCTACTAATATAATGCTTACGCACTAACAGGCTAAATTGAGGTGGTTGCTATGGCAAATGTAGCGCCCTTGTTTTCTCAGAAGGCCTCATTAGGAGGTCAGTGTCATGAGGTACTAAACATCCATCTAACATGCAAATGTAATTTCTCCCCAGGCGCCTGTTTGGACGTACTGTGCAGAATTGACAACTGGGAAAATCTAACTTGTGACCTTCAGTCTCACACTCCGACCTTAACCACTGTGGGTCTGGGTCCCATAGCGGTTAGCTTACAGCGTCTGTTGTGAGTATAAAGCTGGCCCTTTTTATTTTTTACTGTTTATTCCTTGTACTGTTATCCCTGTGTGTGCAAATGAATCCTTGTGTGTGTTTGTGTTTGTGTGTTTTGTTCTGACCCCTTCCCGGCTGCTCAGTGGGGGGGTTGAGTATTTGTTATTAACTTTGATCAGCAGATGGGAAGCTGCATGATAGCACTCTGGCTCCAGGCTGTTACTGTAGTGAGAATAAAGAGACCAGTTCACCGTTGATCTGATACATTTACTCGATAAGACATGCCAAACACTGGACAGTTTTTAAAGAGTTGTTCAATAAATGAATAGTAAATACAATCAGATAATTGTTTTCCTTTTAAGTTCAGCTGTTAAGGAGCTTCATGTAGCAGAATGTTTCATCAGATGATCTGTCCAGGTGTCATGTAATTGAAAAGAAATGTTAAGTTTCCACTTTGCAATGTGCTCGAGGTCTTCACTTCTTATGTGAATAATGACGAACAAAAAGTTCCATAAAGTGAAGATTGAGCTCCGACATATATTTTTTTTAAACGTACATTTGTGTGTACATTATCTGTGCGGGAAAGACGAACTAGTAAAAGTGAGTTAATAAAGTAAAATCAAATTTAATTTCTTTTTTTTGATCAGGGTCGTTTTATTTTCATTTTCAACATTATATCACAGGCTCAAAAGGACCAACAGAACAGGAGAAAAACAACAACAACAAAAAAAAGAAAAACAAACTAAAATGAATTCTAATTTCATTTCTAAAGTTTCTAAAGTTTCTAAAGTTTCTAAAGTTTCTAAAGTAAGGCACAGGGATTAACTGTGACATCAATAAATGTCATAATTTATGTAAACAACACCAGTACTTCTAACATCTTGTTCCCCCTTTTTGCTGTTTATTGGACCTTACAGTATAAACATACATAACTTTAAACAACAGGTTGACTGAAGAATTTCTCGCAAACCATTTCCAGGTCAGACGAAGAAGAGTCCACCTCTTATAATCCTGTATTCTGTACGTCCGAGGATTCCTTCACTTGTTCGCTCCCTCTCGACGCCGCAACAAGCTTCGTCACCATGGTAACCGTCAGCATCTCCGACACCGTAGTCCCGCCAGTCCTTCTCAGGATTCCCCCTCGACCTGGTAAGTTTTTCCTTTTGTCTCATTCTTTGTTTTAGTCAGTCTGATAAATGTTTCCACTCTTTAAATCTGTAATGTACAATTTAAGTAAATTTACAAAAATAACGGCCATAAATAGTCAAAACAATTAATAAACTTTAAAAAAACAGACATGTTCTTCACCCTCTGGTAACAGTAAGAGGATGAGGAATCAACTTTGAAAGAGGCACAGGTGATAGAATTGTGTTTAATTCAAAGTGACCTTCTCCTCTCCTCTCCTCTCCTCTCCTCTCCTCTCCTCTCCTCTCCTCCTCTCCCTCTCCTCTCCTCTCCCCTCTCCTCTCCTCTCCCCTCCTCTCCCCTCCCCTCTCCTCTCCTGAATTATTGTTCTATCTTCTGTTACATATTGGTACTGACAGAAAGATTTCTCAGTAGTTATTCCAAAGACTTTAAAATGTTAACACAATTATCACACTTGGTGGTGTTTCATGTGTTTTAAGTGTGACCTCACTTATCTGTTACTTACATACACTTTTAAGTACATTACAGTAAGACATCAAAGAAGCAAGTTCCCAGAATTCACTTTGGTTTTCAAAGTCACTCGGTTCCCAACATTTGAGCCCTAAATATAAATCCAGCCATGTGCTGAAATGATGTAGGTCTCCTCAAGCTTTAAAACACCTACGTATTTCACGACTTCCACTTTGAACTAGATGAATCTGGACGGATAAGGGCGAGGGTTTTCATTCTGTTGTGATCGGCGAACATGACTGGAATAGTGGAGAGCTGCTGGGCTGTGACCTTGTCCTGTGTGTGTGTGTGTGTGTGTGTGTGTGTGTGTGTGTGTGTGAGACATCCACAGTGACAGAGACTTTTCATGGTTCAACTAAACCTTTAAGAAAAACTGACCAAGCAGGACAGAAACTGAGGAGTTTGTGTAAATGACCCACTGGGGTATTCCAGTAGACCAGTGTCTGTGGTGGTTCAGGAAACCTTAGTATTAATGAACAACACCTTAAGCCGTCAATTTGAATGTGGTATGCAGTTCATGATACATTTATATATTATATTATATTATATTATATTATATCATAGTCATAATTTACAAATATAATACAAGCTAGTTGAATAGATGAAAGATGGGGTGGGGGACATGTAATTTAAACTAGCAGAGCGTCCACATTTTTTTGTTTTTTTTCTGAATTATACTTTCCACTGTTTGTAATTATTATTTATTTTCTATCTGTTTTTTCTTTTTATGTTCAGCTTTGTCTTATATTTATGGAAGCCCATTTCCGCCAGTTCAAAAAATTAAAATGAAAACTTGGCTTTGTTGAGATTTTTCGAAATTATGAGATAATAAAGTCATAATAATGAGATAAAAAGTCAAAATTCTGAGATAAAAAGTCAAAATTATGCCAAATTTACATTTTTTTTTTTTTTACTGGCGGAAATGGGCTTCCATATATATTACATGTTTGGAATAAACAAATCAAATCATTATTCAACACATTAGTATGTAACATAAAGCACTGCTGAATGGTGAAAACTCTCTGCTTGTGCATCTTTAATCTGAATGTACAAAAAAACCATTAGTCTCAAAAGAGAAGAGATGCTAAGTAGCTCATTTCCATCAATCGTGGATACGGAAGCTTCAGTGTTTAGCCAGCTCTGCATCGTTCTTGAAACCTTTTTGCGTTCTAAACATTCTCTATTTTTCAAAATCATCTCTAAAGTTGATCCTAGTTTTATCACGATCGAAAATGGATGCACAAGATGAGATGAGATGTTACTTTGTCCGCATATTCACCAAACTGAAAGCCTCCAAAGACATAAAAATACGAGCACTAAAACCTTACTTGCAAACTTTAACCTCCCTTTTTGTCCTCTATTCACTGCTTCTGTAGTTGCTGGATTCTGTCTTTTGAGGACAGAATGCTACAGCTGCAGCTTTACAGCAGCTCAGTTGGATGCTACTTTTAGTAACAGTCATTTGTTATAATATGATCATATAACAAGGTCATCAGTTTGTGCATCTCCTTTGGGTAACATGTTCAAATTAGTCCTTCAGGTGAGAACAAGAAGCCTGTCTGTTCCCCCGATGGGAGCGTGGAAAATAAATATTTGAGCTGTTACTCATAATGTTGAGTAATCTCTTCTCTCCCCAGCAGGCATCAGAGTTAGCCTCCAGGCTGTGCGAGACACAATTATCTCTTTGTGTAATTGTCACAATTGATTGATGCACTTATCTGCGCTTCACCTCATTAAATAACAGTTAATCTTATTGTTGATTTACATCTCTGAAAGCAACCGGAAATCATCACTCGGGCTCAGTATGAAACCCTTTGCACTGACTGCACTGATCGTTCATTTGTTCAATTATTGACATTTATGTGCCCGGCATCATATTTAATATATATCTATGTAAAGACCAAAAGGGAAAGAACATTTTCAAGACAAATGAAATCATCTTCTCTCAATATTTTTCATCAACGCTGAGCTCAAGATGCGTCAGATTTATGTTTCTAATATGGATAATCCTAGCATAAGGGGTTAGGACAGTATTGATCTCCATTGTCTGAAAAGAGGAGTAATTACAGTATCTGTCACCTTCAGATGTACAGTGCTGTTATGTCATCATGTTCTCTTAGAGACAGCAAATGAACACCTCAGATATAAATACTCAGAAAGGGGCTCACTTACTCATATTGTAATTTTATCATCAAAAAAGGCAAATGTGATACTCTACCTGTTGTGTAATAATCCACAGGATTTAGTAAGCTTTAATTAAATGTCACTTGATATTAAAGAAGGATTCAAGTGGCTTTGTAAATGCAGATCATCTGTCCGATGTATACTGATTGTGCTTCATATGTGTGTTCACCTGTGTTTGAGACGGTCCCTTTATCCCCCCACAGTGAGACATCCAGACTATTGAGGCGGAGCTCATTTTACACTGGGAAGACCCGTCAGACCTCGTCTCCGGCCCGCTGAGATACGAGGTCAGATACTCCTCCAACAGCCATCACCCGGCCTGGCAGGTAAACATCATCTTTCTCTGTGAGTCATGTGATCTAAACAATAACAATAAGGTTAGCGGTTAGCTCGTTATGGGC